AACAAAGTAGATAAACTTGAAATGGCTAGTGATACAGATAAATAGTTTCATTTGTTAATGCTATTTTCTCTCTTTTCAGCTTGGGTAGGCTCACTGTCCTTTGGTCTCAGCTTTTTACTTGGTCCTTTAACAACAGCGATCTGTGACAAATTTGGCATTCGAACAGTTTCACTTATCGGCAATGCGTTATTCAGTCTTGGACTCCTCGCAACATCCTTCGCAACGAGCATTAGTCTTATGTACTTGTCATATTCTATACTTGTTGCCATTGGTTCCAGTTTTTGTTACTATGCATCGATATTGATTTTAGACCAATATTTTCGGAAACATATCGTAACGTCGAATGGTTTGGCATTATCTGGTGCTGGTGCAGGAACTCTAGCTCTTTCTCCAGTGGTTGAGCTACTGCTCGAAAGATATCGTTGGAGAGGCGCAATGCGCATCTTGAGTCTCATCGCGTCTGCACAGTTCCTGTGTTCATTTATTCAATTTTTCATTAAGCCTCCTCTAAGGATAAAAATTGACGACTGCGATACAACAAACGAGAAAAAACCCGAAAGAAAGAAGAAATTTATCAATTTATCGTTGTTTAAGAACAAGGCTTATGTATTGTGGATCATCATCRTTTCTTTGGTGCTCTTTGGTTTTTACATCCCGTACGTTCATCTGGTAAGAACAAATTCGTTTGTTAGTGCTGATTTTATAGCCTTTTTATAGCTGTTTTTACATGCAAAAAATAAAGGATGAAGACTAAAGAATGCCTCTTAATTCATTCCTATCTGTCATCCTTATATTTGGCCCACCGTTTTTCCTTAACCGTTTATCTCTTGTCAGTAGAGCCTCAAAGCAGGCAAATTCAACGATACATCTTTTATTCATGATTGACACATGTCTGTTATTTCATTCATTTTATTTTGTTTTGTGGACCAGTGATTGTGATTGACATGTGTCAATTATTCTTCCTGCGATTTTCACGTGACAACCTTCTTACAATTCTTTTTTTTTCCACGGACAGGTCCGTCATTGTCAAGACTTAAATATTCCCAAGAGTAAAGGCGCCATACTCATTGGTTATCTAGCCATTTCACAAACCATTGGTAAAATTGTCTTCGGTCGAATTTCAGACCATCCACGTGTCAATCGAATTTACTTATATCAGTTCTGCCTGCTGGTTTGTAGTGTACTGACTACCTTACTACCTATCATGACATCAATAGAGAGTATGACTTTCTATTGCTGGGCATTTGGTTTCCATGATGGCTGCTTTGTACTTCTCATTGCTGTTTTGACAGGAGATATCGTCGGGCAAGAAAACATGGCGTCTGCTTTTGGGATGATGTACTTCTTTAGTTGCATCCCAATGATGATAGGTCCACCAGTGGCGGGTGAGTCAAAGGATCGAGAACACAGCTACTCTCTTATCAAGAATTAATCAATCAATAAGTGTTGCTCCCGCATGAGCATTTCTAGTGATTAGCTACTTATTAAAGTCTGCGATTTGATGATTGTAAATTTTAGTGATTGCATAAGAAGCGCGTGCTTAGTGACGACGCCAAATGATCAACTCTACGCTTTTTCAACGCTGCTATATATCTACAATCATATCTACCCAAAAATGTATTCAATCTTCCTATCTACGTACACCAAAGTAATATTGTAGTCTTCAACTACTTGATAGCTCGTAGCGGTAGAAATTACCGATTAGAACCGAATCGAACGCTCTAAGTAACCAATTCTAACGCACTAGATGATCGCAAATGTGTCAGTATTGCTCCAGAGAATAGTCGATAGCGATAATAAAGGTACAAATAAGAGCCCACGCTCCATATGGTCAGCAACGGAGACGACCATATTAGCACTGCGTATGTTCAGCTTAGATAGACCGCTTTCAAAGTTAGTGGCCGAATTTTGCTTATGACCAGAACCACAAAAATAGCAACGTGACGCTTTAAAAAAACTAATTCAAATGAATGCTTTTTTTAAGGTGCTATGTACGGAATGGTTGGATCATATGAGCCAGCATTCATCATGGCCGGAGGTCTTACGTTCATTGGTGTTTGTCTTCTTTTCTTAATTCCAATCCTCCTCCCTTCAGAAATCGTCCAACAATGGAGCATGCGCTCTACGCGTCAGGAGATCAAGCCTGCTGATGATGATGACAAAATTGTCTCAGCAAAAGCACACACTTCGTTCCCTACTTATGCATCAATGAAAGCACAGGATACTGCTCCGAAAATAACTTTATTTAAAGAAGACGATCGACAAAATAGATTGAGTTTGATACTCGAACAGTATTTTTCTATGCAGCAACTGGTAAATCAAAGAGACAGCCTTTTATCAAGAATGTATTCCTCCGAAAATTTATATGAAAGTATACCATACACAGCAATCATCCGAGAAACAGATGTATAAAAAATGAATTATTTACAAATAAATTTTAGTTAAATTAGGCTGCGTTCATAATGTATGGCAGAGTGAGGAAGCGCAGGTGAAAATTTGAAATGTCCAGAATAATTCTTAACACCCCCCCTTAAAGTCATGCAATATACGATCCCCCCGAAGCATGGCTCGTAGCTTCTTCCAACAATTGTGCATCCCCCCMWTTTT